TGGAATCATGAGATGTTCTGAGCAGGAAACTTAAGGTGAAAACCTTGGGAAGTAAAGCTTGGAAAGTAGATCAGGTCGGATATTGCCTTAGGATGGCAAAATCTTTCAGAGAGAATTGATTCTTTTCATCTTTTATCTCTGTGTCTAGTACAGCTTTGTTGTCGTTCAGTCGTGTCCGACTCTTTGCGACCCCGTAGACTGTAGCCCACCAGGATTCCCTGTCCTATACCATCTCCCGGAGCTTGCTCAAACTCATGTCCATGGATTTGGTGATGCCATCCAACCATCTCACCCTCTGTCGTCCGCTTCTCCTCCTGCCCTCATTCTTGCCATGAACTGTATGAGCAGTCCAGCTTAGTAAATGATTATTAATGAATGAGAATGTGACAGGAGCTGTTTAACTTTTGATCTGATCCTTACGATGAAGAGCAAGTAACCCACTGAGAGGCCTGTGATACTATGAATGAGGAAAAGTATTTGATAGGCACTCTTGTATTTTAATTTTAAAAGCTTATTAAATTTTGTATATAACACAGTACTGGGATTACCCGCCTTTGCCCACAGACTTGTATATTGTATAGCTGAACATTAAAAAGAAAAAACCCTAATTTAAAAATCTTTATATGTATCTATCACATATAATAAACTCAGGTAATTTATTTATGTTAGACCAAACATAATTTTGGTGTTCGGAGGAAAATGCATAATTTTGTTGATATATGAACAAATAATAGAACAACCTAAATTAGACATTTAAATGCAGTGTGTATATTCTACTGGAGTTAAGTGAAGTGAAATTGAAGTTGCTCCCTTGTGTCCGACTCTTTGCTACCCCATGGATTGTAGCCCACCAGGCTCCTCCGTCCATGGGATTTTCCAGGCAGGAATACTGGAATGGGTTGCCGTTTCCTTCTCCAGGGGATCTTCCCAACCCAGGGATCAAACCCGGGTCCCCCACATTGCAGACAGGCACTTTACCATCTGAGCCACCACGTAAGCTTAACTGGAATTAAGGCAAGCTATAATTTCCAAATGCTATTAGTACTTAAAAAGAATAATTCTTTATTGCTTATGTAATATATGGACTTCAGTTTCCAACTCTTCAATAAAATGTATGAAATGAAGCATTGTCAAAGGGTGCTTTCTTTTGGGGATAATTTGTTAAAAAATAGTTTTCATTGACATATGACAGAGTTCTGATGAAGAATGCTATTATTATTTATAATCAATCTTTATATATCTCTAGCTTTTTTGTTGCTGAACATTAGGAGAATTCCGGGAAGTTTTTTTACATATGAGTTGGGTCCATATTTTGGTCAGGAGTAGGGAAATAAATAATTTTCCTAAGGCCTCTTTAGCATGCACACACTTAAACACATATATGCATGTATGAAATCTGTCTTGCCTTAGCAGCAAATGCTCTGGCAAAATGCTTACTTGTGTTGTCTATACTGAGTGACGAAAAAGTTACATAGTACCTTGCCATTCCTATAATATTAGTTTATCTAATTGTTTCACTATGTCTGAACCCCCTTTATGTTAATCGTCTTTCTTAAAGTAGCACTTATTTATTCCACTGGAGAAAGAAGTCATTAGGTAGTGTTTGTATCGAGCAGTAAATCATGTTTAGTCTTCAGCTAAATGTGATAAAGATACTGAAAAAAAATGGTGAGATATAGTCTGCTAGTGTGTATTTATTGAGTACCTATGTTCTTAGACTAGAAAGGCCAAGACAACTATCCATTGACAGGGCTGATTTAAGGTGCTACAGCTTTACAATTAAAACAATATTTACTTATCTGTGTTTGTGCAGATTCAGTTAAAATATTCATTGAGCATCTGTTTATCTCAAATTGGGTCCATTCTTTTTCAACCCCCTGGAGAGATCGAAAGGAACATATACACATAGATATTTTGACCAACACTTCCTTTGAGACCGTGGTGTTTTGTATATCGTGGAAATAAAAGTTTGGAGTGAACCAAATTCTAAGTAGAATCCCACCTCTCCTATTTATTAGTCAAATAGTCTTGGGTGAGTCATTTCAAATCCTTGTAAAGTGAAGTTAATTCTTGTCTTAGTGTTGCTTTGTGGATTAGACCAGATGATAGACTGTAAATGCTTAATAAAAGTAAATTTTCTCCTTTTCCTTCTTTACTCTGAGAGATTTTAATACGATACTTACCATGGTAAATGAAGAATTTTTTACACATTGTATTGAGGGCTGTTTACTTCTCCTTTAAAATAAACTTTAAGTGGAATCACTTTCAGTTGATACACAGGAAAGCACATAAATCACAAGGACACACAAAGTGAACTTGCTTGTAAGCAGTGCCCAGATCAAGGAACATGTATGACCCGTGTTTTGTAAGGTTTTCTAAACGCCCCCTCTCAGGTACTTCCCTCTCCCCTCACCAGCCTCTTCCAAAAAAGAGCAAGCATCATTCTGACTTAATTACTTTTCCTTATTTTCTAACTTTCTATCATGGAAATTATATGGTAAGATTTTGTGTTCAGTTTTTTTTTTTTTTACTTAAGAGTTTAAATGTGTGAGTCATTCTCTGTTGCATCATCAAGCTACAGCATTTAATCATGTGATAGTCAGTATTGTCTATTACATTGTTTTTAAAGGTGATGGACAGGGAGGCCTGGCGTGCTGCGGTTCATGGGGTCGCAAAGAGTCGGACACGACTGAGCGGCTGAACTGAACTGAATTAATTTATGGCTGTGCTGGGTCTTCATTGCTGCGTGGGCTACTCTCTAGTTAATGTGTGTGAGCTTCTCATTGTGGCGGCCTTTCTTCATTTGTTCAAGTAGATCCTGCTTGTGCTGGAACTCGGATTGGTTCTGGATATAGGGATTATATGTGTTACATTTCCTAAGGCCTCTTTAGCATGCACACGTTTAAACACATATATGCATGTATGAAATCTGTCTTGCCTTAGCAGCAAATGCTCTAACAAAATGCTTAGGTTGTCTATACCGAGTGACGAGAAAAAGTTTTTTAACTGTGTTTTAACTGAAGCTGTTGACTTTGTGAACACAAGACACCAGACCGGAGATTGGGGAGCAGATAGCAGGGGATGGTGTGTGTGAAGGCTCTGAGCTGGGAAGGAGCTTGACGGAGGGTCTGAGGTCCTGTGACCAGCAGGAGCTGGGGAAGCTAGCCCGCCCCAGTGAGGGAGAGGGAGGGGCAGGTCCCCATAGCAAGGGTTTTAGATCTTATCCCAAGTGCAGAGGGACTCCAGTGAAGGTTTTGAGCTGTCTCCCCGTCCTGGTTTGATTCATCACATTTCCCCTACCTGACCTATCCGTCTTCTGCTCTTAGTGTTGGATACTGTGTGTCAGTCACATAGTCTGCTTGCCATTCAGACAGTTTACTGATTAAGGGGGTCCCTTGGAGATGCCAGACTTTTACCTTTGCAGTCACGTGTAAGCAGGTCCATATTGGGTGTCCTTGCAGCTTTGCTCGTGTTCAAATGGTATAGGATTATAAACATGAGCTTGTGGATATGGTAGCTGCCAGTTTTGTCCTTTGGTCCAGGGTGGGTACCTGCCTGTTTTTTTTTTTTAAAGAGGAGAACGAAAATTCTGAAAGATGAGAACAGTTGTAGTTTCGGTTCTTGCTCTTCTTCCCATTCTCTTTAGTCCCAAGATTTGGAAGCCCTGTAGCTTGCTCTTAATTGACCTCCAAGGAGAGTCAGAGGGCTCAGAGAGTCTTCTCGAGTGTGGCTCCTGCAGTCTTTCACCTCCTCTCCCCAGTACATGCAGTTCCTTTTTCCATACCCAACATCTTACCTGTTTTTTCTTTTTTTTAAAATATAATTGGCATCATTGACTTAGCTAATAATTAAATGTTTGTGTTGTGAATTATGCAGGGGAGGAGGAGTGAGCCACGGGGTTGCCGTCTGTGTCGGTCCTGTTAGAGAAGTGAGAGAGGAGTTATTTACCTGCAGTCTTAGAGCTAACAGATGGCTTCATTCACCACCCTGTGTTTGGAGCCTACTTCCTTTCCTCTCTTATCTAGGTTTTTCCTGTAATATGATGCATATTGGGTTTAGTTGTAACATAATTGGGTGAAATAAAAGTTATTACCTTGTGTGTATGTGCGTGCTCAGTCACGTCTGACTCTGTGACCGCATGGACTGTAGCCCGCCAGGCTTCTCTATCCACGATATTAATATCTCTCCCAGGCAAGAATACTGGAGTGGGTTGCCATTCCCTTCTCCAGGGGATCATCCCAGCCCAGGGATCGAACACATATCTCTTGTGTCTCCTTCATTGGCAGGCGGACTCTTTACCATTGAGCCACCAGGGACGTCCCTTAGAGACTGCGTTTATTCTGATGCTGCTTTTCTTTCTTGAAACATTTCTCGAATTCTTGTAAGGGAAATTGTGTGATTGTGTGTGTGTGTGTGTGTGTGGTGGTGGTGGTCTTTTTTTCTTTTTTTTAAAATTGCATTTAGCAGTAGCAGATCTTCATCTTTCTTTTTAGATCAATTGTACTTACGGAATTTTTGGAAAGGCTCCCTTGAGAGCCAAGTGCAGATCTCCAACTGGAAATGTGCTACAGGCAGGCAAGGATAGTGAATTGGCGTTGGAGATGGGGTGACCGACATCGTGGTTCTTCCGTGGTTGGAGTGAGTGGGTGGTTGGTTCCTGGGACAAGGGGTTGCAGTGCTCCAGCTGGGATGGTTCCAGGCAAATGAGTCTGTGTAAAGGCAGTGATTGCAGCCAGGAGAAGGAGTGTCCCATCTAAAAGAGAGAGGCAAACCGAGGAGTCTCTTGCCTTGTGTTTAGACGTTCTTGTCAGTGGGCCTTGATGGAGGCTCAGGCCGAGATTAAGTCGGTGACGACCCTTGGTGTGTACTGAGACTAAAGAGGCTCATGAGATGAGATTCTAACCCTGTAGAGCTGCGTATGAGGCCCTTCACGGCCTCGCTCCTGCTCATCTGGCCCGTGTCACGGTCTTGCCTGTTTCTGTTTGTGGGCTTCTGCGCACGCTGTCCTCTGGTCCCCACGCTGTCCGCTGGTCCCCACGATGTCCGCTGGTCCCCATGATGTCCTGTGTCGGCTTCTCCCTGAGTAAGTGCCCTTACCGCACACGCTTCAGAACTGAACTCAGGTTCTCACATCCTGCAGAATACAAGGCTGCATTAGGGATGTCTTGCTTAATCAATATTTGTTGAATGAGTGAACAAATAATTAAAGGGTCAGGAGGTACAATGAGAGTTTTGTTTTTTTAAGTGGGGAAGACTGAATACTATTTTGTATACTGTTTTGAAATAAAATTGGACATGTTCTGTTTTTCTGTGTCCTGCTAGTAGCTAAACATACAGGTCAGTATTTGGCACAGTTTTAACTTTTATGTTTTAAAGTAGTTTTCAAATTTATGAGTTGTAGTATAAAGAATCCCCTGTTGCTACCTACGTTTACTAGTAGTTATCATCTTAGGCGGGGGTGGAGGGGACAGAGAGTTCCACTTGTGTCCGCCGTCTCTCTGTTGCCTTATGCCAGATTGGCACATTTAGGGGTGGCGTGTTCTGATCCTCCTTCATCCCCAAAACATCCACTGTAGCAGTTTGCATTCCCTAATACAAGACTTGGTACAGCAATGTACATTGTGTTCAGTTGTCCTGTCTCTTTTCTCTTTTAATCTGAGAAACCTCAGGTTTTTTTTTGTGTGTGTGTGTGATAGTGACATTTTTGAAGAGCGCAAGCCAGCCGTTATGTAAAATGAGCCTCAGATTTGGTTTTCATGTTTCCTCAGGATTAGATGCAGGTTTTGCACTTCTGACAAATGATATTTCTTTTCTCAGTTCATCACATTAGGAGGTACATATTGTCAGTTTGTTCCAATATTGGTGATATTAACTTTGTCACTTGAGCTAAGGAGGTATTATTTGTCAGGTTTAAGCATCCAACCAGCAGTGAACAAAAGCCCCTCATTTTTACTATGTCTTCTAGCCACCTTCCCTGGTGGCTGAGATGGTAAAGAATCTGCTTGCAATGCAGAAGGCCTGGATTTGATCACTGTGTCAGGAAGATCCCCTGGAGAAGGGAATGGCTAGAGAATTCCAAGGACAGAGGAGCCTGGGGGCTATAGTGTGTGGGATCAAAAAGAGTTAGCCTTGACTGAGTGACTAACACTTTCAGTTTTCCAGTGTAAAAATAACAATTTTCATTTGAATTAGTAGGTAGTATGTACAGAGAGACTTTGAAACTTTCACCCAATGGATTTGTCATCCTTTAATGATTCTTAATGAAAAGACTATATGTTGTCACCCTGCTTATTTAACTTACATGCAGAGTAATGATGCAAAATGCCAGGCTGGATGAATCACAAGCTGGAATCAAGATTGCTGGGGAAAATGTAAATAACCTCAGATATGCACATGATACCACTGTAATGGCAGAAAGTGAAGAGGAATTAAAGAGCCTCTTGAGGGTTAAAGAGGAGAGGGGAAAAAGCAGGCTTGGAACTCAACAACAAAAAAACTTAAATAACCGCATCTGGTCACATCAGTTCAGTTCAGTCACTCAGTTGTGTCTGACTCTTTGCGACCCCATGGACTGCAGCACACCAGGCCTCCCTGTCCATCACCAGCTCCCAGAGTTTACTCACACTGATGTCCATTGAGTCGGTGATGCCATCCAACCATCTCATCCTCTGTTGTCCCCTTCTCCTCCAGCCTTCAATCTTTCCCAACATCAGGGTTTTTTCAAATGAGTCAGTTCTTTGGTGGCCAAAGTATTGGAGTTTTAGCTTCAGTATCAGTCCTTCCAATGAATACTCAGGACTGATTTCCTTTAGGATGGCCTGGTTGGATCTCTTTGCAGTCCACAGGACTCTTAAAGAGTTTTCTCCAACCCCATAGTTCAAGAGCATCAATTCATCAGCACTCAGCTTTCTTTATAGTCCAGCTCTATACATCCATACATGACTACTGGAAAAACCATAGCCTTGACGAGATGGACCTTTGTTTGCAAAGTAATGTCTCTGGTTTTTAATATGCTGTCTAGGTTGGTCATAACTTTTCTTCCAAGGAGCAAGTGTCTTTTAATTTTGTGGGTGCAGTCACCATCTGCAGTGATTTTGGAGCCCACAAAATAAAGTCTGACACTGTTGCTACTGTTTCCCCATCTTATTTGTCATGAAGTGATGGGCCCAGATGCCATGATCTTTGTTTTTCAAATGTTGAGTTTTAAGCCAACTTTTTCACTCTCCTTTCACTTTCATCAAGAGGCTCTGGTTCCATCACTTTGTGGCAAATAGAAGGAGAACAAGTGGAAGGCAGTGGTTTTTGCAGTAGTTTTTATGGATGTGAGAGTTGGACCATAAAGAAGGCTGAGTGCCAAAGAATGGATGATTTCAGATTGTGGTGTTGGAGAAGACTCTTGAGAGTTCTTTGGACTACAAGGAGATCAAACCGGTCAATCCCAAAGGAAATCAATCCTGAATATTCATTGGAAGGACTTGTTGAAGCTGAATCTCAAATACCTCGGCCACCTGAGATGAAGAGCTGACTCACTGGAAAAGACTCTGACACTGGGAAAGACTGAAGGCAAAAGGAGAAGGGGGTGGCAGAGGATGAGATGGTTAGGTAGCATCACTCACTCAGCGGATGTAAATTTGAGCAAGCTCCAGGAGATGGTGGGGGACAGAGAAGTCGGGTGTGTTGCAGTCCATGGGGTCGCAAAGAGTCAGACACGACATAGTGACTGCACCGCAACAGTGATTCTCATCTTAGTTACTGATGTGATGGTTAAAAGTGGTGATTTTTCTGTCATTTTTTTCCTGCATTTATTAGTTGACATTAAATAGATTTATCTGAATTTTAAACCTAATAAAATAAATTCTAAAATGAAACATTTATGAGAATTTTATAGGTTGGGAGTTACATGAAAAGGACTAGGGTGGGAGAATGGTTATAGTTGGATGATGTCAAAATTATCATTGTATGAATTGATGCATCTCTTGCTTTGATAGTTTCAGGTCAGCCCTGAACTATTCTTTGTTGAGGGAAGGGGCAAGGGTAGGGCTATTAAACTTGTTGGAATCATCTGAGTTGTTTAAAATCTTTGAAAAGTAGGAATTTAAAAATTCAGTCTAAACTGAATTTTCTATTTGGCCACAAAAAGAGGCAACTTAATTTAGGTTTTGATCAATAAGGTTCATTCTCAACATAGAATTAATGAATGACAATTTTTTATGGACATTGCCAGGTTTCCTTTATATAAGTCGAGTATGAGATTATCTTTCCTTTCAAAGGTCTTAGAATTTTGGGGGGAAGGAGCAATGGCAATAACATCTAATGTGGAGCAGATGTAACGAAGCCCTGATTTGGGTGGTGTAGGGAGCCCCCAGTGTGCTGCAAGAGAGGAGAGCAGAATGATGGGGGTTACTAGGGAAAGTCTGGAGGTGGGGTGGAGGGGTTGGGCTCCACAAATAGAGACTTGTCCTTGGAGACTGTGGTCCACCCATGGTGGAGTCACGGGGAAAGCAGAGCGCATGCGTGGTTGCATGTGGCTGTGATGTGGGCTTTGCCTCTCACCTGGAACTTTAACACGTTTGCTTCCTGACTCAACACTGACTAAGCGTTTGTTATACTTAGGAGTTTCTGAGGCTCCTTTTGTCTCAGAACTGACCTCTCCTTAGTAGTGAAATCTGCGCATTATGTAGTGTCTTAAAGCAGCCTGTCAGAGAGAACTGTGACCCTTTTTTTCCTGTAGGCAGAGGTGGGTATCTGTGCCATTTTGATGTGTTGGAATATTGTCTTTTTAAGAAGTATTCCAAGTAAGTGCGCCAATGGCTGGCAGCCTAGAGTTACTTTCTATATGGAGATTTTGGTGGATGGAATTTGTTAAAATGGTATTTGACCTGTATTCAACTTCAATTTTGGACAAATTTAATTTTAGGCATAATTACATTGAAATGTAAACATAATATGTTTATGTTACAGATTTTAGAGAAAGGCAGAAATTTGTTCAGTTCATAGAGTAGTGCAGGAAAAGAAAGCTGGTGCATTTGTGGTGTCAGTTATAGAAACTGGGCTAAATCTTAAACCACATTCAATGGCTTAAGAATGGAGTCCCCCCCGCCCCTTCCGCCAATACTTAAGACAGAGTCATATGTGTTTATTGTCTTCATCCTCAGTTTAAGACTTTATTTAATTCTCAATGTAATAAAGTGTCCAAATCATAGGGAATTTTAAAATACAGAAAAGCCTTAAGGAAAAAGAAATGACTTCTGCTAGTAATCCCATTCTCAATTTTGGGGGGGAATTTTCTTTTCCTCTGTTCCTCCCTTCTTCCCTTTCTTTTCTTTAGTTTTTAACTTGAGGACACAACCAGATCTTCCTGTAAATAAAAAATTTTTTTTCACTGAATCCCATAACATAAGCATTTTTCTTTATTACAAACTGTCATCAATTTAATAGCTCAGTTGAACTGCACCATGTCAAGTGAGCCATCTGTGGTTTACCAGATCACTCCCTCATTTGTTGTTAGACATTTAGTTTTTTGGGAAGGTGGAAGGGGCACTTTTTGCTATTATAAATGATAATGCCAAGGAAGCATATCTGAATGTAGTTTGTGTTAATGTTGTAGGCTAGATTAAATATGCAAGGATTTGTAATTAATAATGATAGTTATGACAAAAGTGAAAATAGAAATATTCCTGTTGTGCTGTGTATTTACCTAAGACTAAAAATTACAGTGTTTAAATTCTTTTAATTATCCTTTTTCTCTTTGGTCTCTCAGTCTTTGATTTGACCTTAGTCTTTTCATAATCTGTATTCACCAAATAACGGTTGGTAAATCCTTGAAATCTTTATTTCATGTACCATGGGTATTTTGGATATTTCCTATCTTTTTGTTTTCTCTTTTCTTGCATTTTATATTTTCCAAGCTTGTCTACTGAATGATAATGGTGAGAATGGTTACTTGCCCATGCATGTGAACCATTTCATTGCCTCAAAAACAGTTAAGTAATGTTTTCAGTGAAGTTTGGGGAGCCAAACAGAAGGAGCCCGTAGTATTTTTTGGTTTTTGCTTTTA